GTTCCTTTCTTTCTCCCCAACCCCTTTCCTTTTTCCCCCTCCTCCTTGCTCTTCCTCTTGACTTTTCTGTTTTGGGTCTTTTCCCGATTTTTCCAGTGGTTTTTTTCTGGTTGGTGCTTCACTTCTTCCCCCCCCAAACCCTCTGCTCTTCCTTCCCTCCGGCCCCTTTTTTCACAATACCTTCATAATTCAATCCCTTTTCTTTCCTCTCTTTGTTGTTTGTTTTCTCTTCCCCCCGGAAATTTTTCCCCGTTTTCCCAAAAACAGGACCTTTTCCCTGGTTGGTTTCGCTTTTTGGGGGCCTTTCTTTTTTTTCCCTCCAACCCTTTTCCCATTTACAAGACTTTTCTCCCCTTTTTTTCCCCCTAATTTTTCTCCCTTTTTTTCTCTTCCTTTTCATGTTTCCCCCCTTTCCTTTCCCCCCCCAAAAAACCATGGGGATCGATCCCTTTCCTCTCCCAACCTTTTTTTTTTTTTGAAAAAAAGGAGAAAAGGGAAAAAGGGGGGCCTAGATTGGGAAAAAAAAGGGTCCCCAAAAAAAGGGGGAAAAAAGGGGGAAGGGGGGAAAAACTCAAATTTTTTTCAAGGGGGGGGGAATTTTAAAGGGAAAAAGGGAAAAGGGAAAAAAGGAAGGGAAGAGGAGGGAAAAGGGAAAATTTAAAAAGAGAGAAGGAAGAAGTATGAAGAAAAGAGGGAGGGGGGGGGGAAAGAGGAGAGAGAGAGAGGGGGGAGAGAGAGGAAGAAAAGAGGAGAGGGGAGAGGGAGAGGAAAATGGGGGGGGGGGGGGGAAGGAAGGGTTATAGGGGGGTCACTTCCAGGAAGGTGTAAATCCTGTATAGTGTGTGTGTGTGTGTATATTATGGTGTGGGTGTTGTATTGTGTGGTGTGTGTGGTTTATGTTGTGTTTGTGTGTGTGTTTTTTGTTTTGTTTGTGTGTGTGGTGTGTTGTGTTACAGCTATTCAAGTGCCCAACAACAGTACTGTTTTCACAAGTGTGCTGCATATGTTATATAAACGTCCTTATTTCCCCCCCCTATGTACTAATATGTATTGTATATGTACCCGATCTCTTGGGTTTCCCCTGTAGTCTTTTGCTTTAAAATTACGTTCAAAAAAAAAATACACTAGGCTTCGCCTATTGCAGTACCCTAAATTCTATTAAATGCCAGTAAAGCTGCTTTTCTAACTTGAAGCTCAAGGAATGACCCCCAATTCCAGCTAGAGACAGGTACTATTGACCCCATGCAACCAAAATAGGTGAATATTACTTGCGGCTGGCATGGAGTAAGTTGTGGCGTCCTGGTCCCCCGAAGTTGAAGTGTTTGATGCTTCTGGTAATTTTTCCACTAATTCCTTATGCCTTGTTTCTCAGCTCTTTAATTTTTTCATCGCTCACTGATTTACTGACACATCTTTAAAAACTCTTATCTCCCTGGCTTGAGTCACACTTTTCTTCAAAAAAGCCCACTGCGTTATTATGGCAACACTATTTAGGCCTGACACAACCGTTCACCCTTCCAACGGCCTCCACTAAACACTCAGCAACTATTTCCTTTGTTTTCTTTTCTGTGATCACTTATATTTCCTTTTTTCGGGTCTTAAGTGATTATATGCACTCTCATGCGTGCACACGCCTATATCCCACACTCTATTCCTTATGGCACAGTCAGAAATTATCACCAAAACACGAGCTCAAACCGCGTGACTCCTCCACGAGTGTGAGTGTGTGTGTGTGTGTGTGTGTGTGTGTGTGTGTGTGTGTGTGTGTGTGTGTGTGTGTGTGTGCATGCGAGCGTGCATGTGTGTGCGTGCGCGCGTGTGTGTGTGTGTACTCATTTGTACTCACCTATTTGTGGTTGCAGGGGTCGATTCATAGCTCCTGGCCCCGCCTCTTCACTGATTGCTACTAGGTCCTCTCTCTCCCTGCTCCATGAGCTTTATCATACCTCGCCTTAAAACTATGTATGGTTCCCGCCTCCACTACTTCACTTTCTAGGCTATTCCACGGCTTGACTACTCTATGACTGAAGAAATACTTCCTAACATCCCTTTGATTCATCTGAGTCTTCAACTTCCAATTGTGACCTCTTGTGTCTGTGTCCCATCTCTGGAACATCCCGTCTTTGTCCACCTCGTCTATTCCACGCAGTATTTTATATGTCGCTATCATGTCTCCCCTGACCCTCCTGGCCTCCAGTGTCGTCAGGCTGATTTCCCTCAACCTTTCTTCGTAGGACAATCCCCGTAGCTCTGGGACTAGTCTTGTTGCAAACCTTTGCACTTTCTCTAATTTCTTGATGTGATTGACTAGGCGTGGATTCCAAACTGGTGCTGCATACTCCAGTATGGGCCTGACGTAAATGGTATACAAAGTCTTGAACGAATCCTTACTGAGGTATCGGAACGCTATCCGTAGGTTTGCTAGGCGCCCGTATGCTGCAGCAGTTATCTGATTGATGTGTGCCTCGGGAGATATGCTCGGTGTTATACTCACGCCCAGATCTTTTTCCTTGAGTGAGGTTTGCAGACTTTGGCCATCTAAACTATATTGTGTCTGCGGTCTTCTTTGCCCTTCCCCAATCTTCATGATTTTGCATTTGGCAGGGTTATATTCAAGGAGCCAGTTGCTGGACCAGGCTTGTAGCCTGTCCAGGTCTCTTTGTAGTCCTGCCTGATCCTCATCCAATTTGATTCTTCTCATTAACTTCACATCGTCCGCAAACAAGGACACTTCTGAGTCTATCCCTTCCGTTATGTCATTCACATATACCAAGAACAGCACAGGTCCTAGGACTGACCCCTGTGGAACCCCGCTTGTCACAGGCGCCCACTCTGACACCTCGTCACATACCATGACTCGTTGTTGCCTCCCTGTCAGGTATTCTCTGATCCACTGCAGTGCTTTTCCTGTTATGTGTGCCTGATCCTCTAGCTTTTGCAGTAACCTCTTGTGAGGAACTGTGTTGAAGGCCTTCTTGCAGTCCAAAAAAATGCAGTCGATCCACCCCTCTCTCTCTTGTCTTACTTCTGTCACCTTGTCATAAAACTCTAGTAGGTTTGTGATACAGGATTTTCCCTCCCTGAAACCATGCTGGTTGTCAATTATACACTTGTTTCTTTCCAGGTGCTCCACCACTCTCCTCCTGATGATCTTCTCCATGACCTTGCATACTATACACGTTAGTGATACAGGTCTGTAGTTTAGTGCCTCATGTCTGTCTCCCTTTTTAAAAATTGGGACTACATTTGCCATCTTCCATACCTCGGGGAGTTGCCCAGTTTCAAATGATGTGTTGAAGATCTTTGTTAACGGTACACACAATATCTGTGTGTGTGTGTGTGTGTGTGTGTGTGTGTGTATACTCACCTAATTGTACTCACCTAATTGTGGTTGCAGGGGTCGAGACTCAGCTCCTGGCCCCGCCTCTTCACTGATCGCTACTGGGTCCTCTCTCTCTCTGCTTCCTGAGATTTGTCATACCTCTTCTTAAAACTATGTATGGTTCCTGCCTCCACTACTTCACTTGCTAGGCTATTCCACTTGCTGACAACTCTCTGACTGAAGAAATACTTCCTAACGTCCCTGTGACTCGTCTGAGTCTTCAGCTTCCAGTTGTGACCCCTTGTCCCTGTGTCCCCTCTCTGGAACATCCTATCTCTGTCCACCTTGTCTATTCCCACAGTATCTTGTATGTCGTTATCATGTCTCCCCTGACCCTTCTGTCCTCCAGTGTCGTCAGTCCGATTTCCCTTAACCTTTCCTCGTACGACATTCCCTTGAGCTCTGGGACTAGCTTTGTTGCAAACCTTTGTACTTTCTCTAACTTCTTGACGTGCTTGACCAGGTGTGGGTTCCAGACTGGTGCTGCATACTCCAGTATGGGCCTAACATACACAGTGTACAGTGTCTTGAACGATTCCTTATTAAGGTATCGGAATGCTATTCTCAGGTTTGCCAGACGCCCGTATGCTGCAGCGGTTATTTGGTTGATGTGTGCCTCCGGTGATGTGCTCGGTGTTATGGTCACTCCAAGGTCTTTCTCCCTGAGTGAGGTCTGTAGTCTTTGTCCACCTAGCCTATACTCTGTCTGCGGTCTTCTTTGCCCCTCCCCAATCTTCATGACTTTGCATTTGGCTGGATTGAATTCGAGAAGCCAGTTACTGGACCACGTGTCCAGCCTGTCCAGGTCTCTTTGCAGTCCTGCCTCATCCTCGTCCGATTTAATTCTTCTCATCAACTTCACGTCATCTGCGAACAGGGACACTTCAGAGTCTATTCCTTCCATCATGTCGTTCATATATATAAAAAATAGCACTGGTCCTAGAACTGACCCCTGTGGGACCCCGCTCGTAACAGGCGCCCACTGTGATACCTCTTCATGTACCATGACTCGTTGCTGCCTCCCTGTCAGGTATTCCCTTATCCATTGCAGTGCCCTCCCTTTTACATGCGCCTGATCCTCCAGCTTCTGCACTAATCTCTTGTGGGGAACTGTGTCAAAGGCCTTCCTGCAGTCTAGGAAAATGCAATCTACCCACCCCTCTCTCTCGTGTCTTCTGTTACCTTGTCATAAAACTCCAGGAGGTTTGTGATACACGATTTGCCTTCCATGAACCCATGCTGGTTTTCATTTATAATCTTGTTCCTTTCCAGGTGTTCGACCACTCTCCTGATAATCTTCTCCATGACTTTGCACACAATACATGTCAGAGACACAGGTCTGTAGTTTAGTGCCTCGTTTCTGTTTCCTTTCTTAAATATGGGGACTACATTAGCTGTGTGTGTGTGTGTGTGTGTGTGTGTGTGTGTGTGTGTGTGTGTGTGTGTGTGTGTGTGTGTGTGTGTGTGTGTGTGTGTGTGTGTGTGTATATATATATATATATATATATATAATATATATATATATATATATATATATTATATATATATATATATATATATATATATAATTTATTTTGTGTATTATATGTAAATATACTGATAAGGTACTTATGCCTGTCAGGGCACTAACTTCATATATGTAAGGTACACCATACCCCCGGCCGGGATTGAACCCGCGGTCATAGAGTCTCAAAACTCCAGCCCGTCGCGTTAGCCACTAGACCAGCTAGCCACAATAAGATTCATCCAACTAGGTATATTTCTACACCATAGGAAGGTTAGCACAGGCACCACTGTGACCACAAATGCAAGTTTTTACAGACGAATCTCCAACTAGCGTGGCCGTGACGAACTCTAGCTCAAGTCCCTTCACTGCCGTCAACATGACTCAAGAAATCGTAATGACACGATTGCAAACAAACCATACCCCCGGCCGGGATTGAACCCGTAATCGTGTCATTACGATTTCTTGAGTCATGTAAGGTACACATTAATCAGGTATATTGTGTACATTCGTTGTTATTGAGGAAACGTTTTCTTTGATAATTTGGATGAAATTCGTGGCTTAGCGCTTCTTTTTGATTATAATATATATTTGGATGAAATTCATAGAGGTGTTTCCCCTCAACCTCGTCCGAAACTTCGTCTGCACTAACGTATCGAGCTCGGATTATGTCCAAATTTAAAATGAATATAGTATGAGTGGAAATATAGCACGAGTGGAAATATAGTATGAGTGGAAATAGAGATAATGATTATTAGAATTAACTTAACTTATCAGTAGTGATCAAGGAGAAATAATCAGCGAAATATTAGAGCTAAATTACCTCTAGCTAGTTGCCTTGATACTGGTCAGGAACACATGATCCAAGAAACTGAACCTATCTTTCCTTTCCTTTCCTCGGATCGAACCTGATTGCCTCCCATTACCTCAGGCGTTGTAGAACCCCTTTGGGTTTAGCGCTTCTTCCCACGAATGTAATAATTATAACAGTGCTAAGTCGAGTTGGAAGCCAAAGACAAGAGTTGAGACACTTTGACAATCAGCTGTTCGAGGCTCTGCTCACTGGAGCAGATTTTCTTTATATTTTGTGTAGATCACAATCTGGGGAAGCTGCCACAGTCATATAACTCTACAATGATATATTGCTGAGTGTGTCCGCCGCAGTATGGATGGTGTGGATAGGTAAATAGTCTGAAATATGTTGCTGACACTTGTGTATACAGTTTCACTGGACAGGTATCTCAGGTGTGTCCAGTATAATTACTAGACGAAAATGTGAATTATGTGCTATATAATTTTGCGAATGATATAAATGTACCGAAATAAATATAAATTTCTTAAATGTGATGGTATATGATTTTTAAGAATGATGTAAATGTGTCTTACTAAATCAGGTACAAAAGCTTTGGGATCCAAATGGAATTGAATGTTGTTGATAAATTGTAGGAATATAATAACAAGAGTGAACACTGCAGTAGGCCTACTGGGCCATGCTAGGCAGGTCTAACTCGCACCCACTCATATACCCGTCCATCCTATATTTAAAGCCACCCAGGGTTCTCCCTAGTGACGTTACCTGGGAGCTTAAGACACATCTACAACACTTGATATACTTCAGTTTGGGCGAAGATTTTATTCGGATTGTTAACCCAGGATAACTCAATAAAATCACTGTCATGAGAATGTTTGGTTTATTTCCATTGGTGTCCTCCAGCAGGTGTAAGTTAGTCAATTTATTTAGACACAGGTACACATAAGTACAATTATCATACATGATGTAAATTACCTAGGATAACCAAAAATTAAATTGGACTAAGGAACCATGCCTAATGTGTCCACTCGTCTGGCCCCTCAAGGGAGGTTCCTTGATGCTGGTGAGGGGCTTTTGATCTAGGGAATTGGATCTGTGCTCCAGTTCCCTGAATTGAGCCTGAATACCTTCCATCCCCCCTCCACGTGCGCTGTATAATCCTATGGGTTTAATGCTCCCCATGATTATTATTTATTTTTTTTATTAACACACTGGCCGATTCCCACCAAGGCAGGGTGGCCCGAAAAAGAAAAACTTTCACCATCATTCACTCCATCACTATCTTGCCAGAAGGGGGCTTTACACTACAGTTTTTAAACTGCAACATTAACACCCCTCCTTCAGAGTGCAGGCACTGTACTTCCCATCTCCAGGACTCAAGTCCGGCCTGCCGGTTTCCCTGAACCCCTTCATAAATGTTACTTTGCTCACACTCCAACAGCACGTCAAGTATTAAAAACCATTTGTCTCCATTCACTCCTGTCAAACACGCTCACGCATGCCTGCTGGAAGTCCAAGCCCCTCGCGCACAAAACCTCCTTTACCCCCTCCCTCCAACCTTTCCTAGGCCGACCCCTACCCCGTCTTCCTTCCACTACAGACTGATACACTCTTGAAGTCATTCTGTTTCGCTCCATTCTCTCTACATGTTCAAACCACCTCAACAACCCTTCCTCAGCACTCTGGACAACAGTTTTGGTAATCCCGCACCTCATCCTAACTTCCAAACTACGAATTCTCTGCATTATATTCACACCACACATTGCCCTCAGACATGACATCTCCACTGCCTCCAGCCTTCTCCTCGCTGCAACATTCATCACCCATGCTTCACACCCATATAAGAGCGTTGGTAAAACTATGCTCTCATACATTCCCCTCTTTGCCTCCAAGGACAAAGTTCTTTATCTCCACAGACTCCTAAGTGCACCGCTCACCCTTTTCCCCTCATCAATTCTATGATTCACCTCATCTTTCATAGACCCATCCTCTGACACGTCCACTCCCAAATATCTGAATACATTCACCTCTTCCATACTCTCTCCCTCCAATCAATCTGATATCCAATCTTTCATCACCTAATCTTTTTGTTATCCTCATAACCTTACTCTTTCCTGTATTCACTTTTAATTTTCTTCTTTTGCATACCCTACCAAATTCATCCACCAACCTCTGCAACTTCTCTTCAGAATCTCCCAAGAGCACAGTGTCATCAGCAAAGAGCAACTGTGACACCTCCCACTTTATGTGTGATTCTTTATCTTTTAACTCCACGACATGCCCATGATTATAATATAATAATAGTCTTCTCATCTGGAGATCGAACCTTGTTTCCACCGTGTGTAAGCTGAGAATGCTGCCTATTGAGCTGTGAGTCATTTGATAATTTGGGCTGTGTAATTCCTTTGATTAAGTAAGTAAGTTTATTCAGGTATACACAAATACAGTTACATAGAATTATCATACATAGCAGCATATGTGTAGAGAACCTGGGATAACCCCAAAAAGTCGGACAGAGTGACTTATTTCCATTGGGGTCCTTTTGCTTTATTATTATAATATAAAGGTTATAATATTTTCTTATTATTCTGTAATAAAGATAACATCTTATCATCATACCAAAAAGACTATCAACTACATAAGGTTCATTAAGACTATCTACAATATGAGGGTCATTACTAGGAATAAGGTAAAATTTACACCTATGTTAGCTAAAAAATAGAAAATCATTCCCCTCCCTTTCTGTAGCTACATTCATCAGACACCTTTTAGCACTTCTTGAACTGGTTCATGTTATGACTGGCTTTGACATGTGCGGGCAGTCTGTTCCATTCCTTTATTGCTGTACAATAAAAGGTGTTTGAAGCCTGGCCAATGACTGTGGGTACTACAAAGTTGTGCTCTCTCCCCTTAGTACTATGATTGCTTTGGTTCCCAACCTTGACAAAATTGACAGCAAGATATTCTGGACACTGTTTTTGAGCAATTTTATAAACATGATAATTTTGTTAATTGTACAGCAGTTGTGCCAAGGCTGTGTGATGACTGTGGTGTTCTGTTCAGAAGACAGTTGGTGTGTAAAGAGGCACCTGAGTTTCCCTGTCTCCTAATATCATGTTGTGTTGCAGAGGTCTGAACTTTGCTCAGACCTCTGCAACATGATTGTCATCAAAGATTAGTTTAGTTATTACTTGAATTAAGGAAAGATCCTAGACTTCACATTACAAAAGCAGACAAAGCAAATGCGATAGTAATTATGGACAAGGTATATTATAGTGGAAAAAGTAACGTGTTATTTGAAGACAGTGGAACTGACGTGCCCCTTAATATGTATCTGTACCTTGTAAGGCTAAAACAGGCAGATTCGTGTATTAGCCTGACTAGCTGTTTAGAGGATGAAGGATCAAGCCACTTCCAATTCTTGCACTGAAGGACCCACATGGGTTTAGCACTGCTCATAAAGAAATTAGTTAAAATTAAAATATACACATGTCAATTAGGTTAGGTAAGGTTTGTCAGGAAACAGGGCAAATGTTACCTGACGTGGGTCTTAGTCATATGATGATCTGCAGCTGTAGCTTTTGGTCATCTGACTGAGGTCTTCCGCTGGCTTACCAGTCCACTCTTTTAAAAATTTTGGTTATGATTATAACCATTCAGTTGGATAAGGTTTGGTTAACCATGGGAACAAATCATTACCTTAGATTCTCTCTCTTGGATCAAACTAATTGCCACTTGTTCCTCAGGCACTGTACAATGCTTTCAGGATTAGTAAGCACCTACCCTTGAATTTTTTTTTTTTTAACAAGTCGGCTGTCTCCCACTAAGGCAAGGTAACCCAAGAAGAAAGAAAATCCCCAAAAAGAAAATACTTTCATCATCATTCAACACTTTCACCTCACTCACACATAATCACTGTTTTTGCAGAGGTGCCCAGATTACAACAGTTTAGAAGCATATAAGTATAAAGATACACAACATATCCCTCCAAAATGCCAATATCCCAAACCCCTCCTTTAAAGTGCAGGCATTGTACTTCCCATTTCTAGGACTCGAGTCCGGCTATATGAAAATAACCGTTTCCCTGAATCCCTTAACTGAATATTACCCTGCTCATACTCCAACAACTCGTCAGGTCCCAAATACCATTCGTCTCCATTCACTCCTATCTAACACGCTCACACACACTTGCTGGAAGTCCAAGCCCCTCGTCCACAAAACCTCCTTTACCCCCTCCCTCCAACCTTTTCAAGGACGACCCCTACCTCGCCTTCCTTCTCCTACAGATTTATATGCTCTCCATGTCATTCTACTTGGATCCATTCTCTCTAGATGACCAGACCACCTCAACAACCCCTCTTCAGCCCTCTGACTAATACAGTGGACCCCCGCATAACGATTACCTCCGAATGTGACCAATTATGTAAGTGTATTTATGTAAGTGCGTTTGTACGTGTATGTTTGGGGGTCTGAAATGGACTAATCTACTTGACAATATTTCTTATGGGAACAAATTCGGTCAGTACTGGCACCTGAACATACTTCTGGAGTGAAAAAATATCGTTAACCGGGGGTCCACTGTACTTTTATTAACTCCACACCTTCTCCTAATTTCCACACTCCGAATTTTCTGCATAATATTTACACCACACATTGCCCTTAAACAGGACATCACTGCCTCCAACTGCCTCCTTACTGCAGCATTTACAACACAAACTTCACACCCATATAAGAATGTTGGTACTACTATACTTTCATACATTCCCTTCTTTGCCTCCATAGATAACATTTTTTGTCTCCACATATACCTCAATGCACCACTTGCCTTTTTTCCTTCATCAATTGTATGATTAACCTCATCTTTCATAAATCCATCCGCTGACACGTCAACTCCCAAATATCTGAAAACATTCACTTCTTCCATACTCCTCCTCCCCAATTTAATATCCAATTTTTCTTTATCTAAATCATTTGATACCCTCATCACCTTACTCTTTTCTATGTTCACTTTCAACTTTCTACCTTTACACACACTCCCAAACTCGTCCACTAACCTTTGCAATTTTTCTTTAGAATCTCCCACAAGCACAGTATCATCAGCAAAAAGTAACCGTGTCAATTCCCATTTTGTATTTGATTCCCCATAATTTAACCCTTTCAGGGTCCGTCCCGTAGATCTACGGTTTTACGTTCAGGGTCCATACTGTAGATCTACATCATGAGCTCAGCTCACTCTGATAAACTGTGAGTGGTACATTTGGGCCTAGATATGAGAGAATACATCTATGTGGTATGTGTGCACCACATAAAACAGATCCTGCAGCACACTGTGTATAATGAGAGAAAAAAAACTGAAATCATGATTTTTCGATTAAAACAGCGACTTTGCAGTGTTTTTTCGTATGTTTTTTATAGTTGTATTTGCAATTTCTTGGTCTCATTTGATAGAATTGAAGACATATTACAGAAATAGAGATGATTTTGATTGGTTTCAGCACTGGAAATGGCTTGAAACTGAGCTCAAAGTAGCGGAATTGTTAAATTTTTGCCAATTTTCAAGAGTAAACAAACGACCTCACACATCTAATACACGACCAGCTGGTGGGTCTAATATACATTCACAAATATGGTGATGATATTTATACAATTATTACAGTATTGCATAACAGTAAATCTTCTATTTTTTGGTGTGAATAAAAATTCATTATGTGAATAAAAAATCAAAATGGAATTTATTTGTAAAGCCTCAAAACATAACTAATGAACAGAGGAAATGTTAGTTTAGTTCCAGGAATACCTACATTGTTTATTCTGGACCCCATTTTGAAATTGGAATATTTTGAACTTTGTGTTAAATTGACCAAATTAACAATTTCCTATCACTTTATTTTGTAGTTGAAACAATTGACTTGGCGATTTCTTGTGCTCAATCAATAGAATAGAAGTGAAATAGCTAAGAATTTAGTTGACTGGAATAATGTAATTGGCCTAAACTGGGAGTCAAAGTCGGCAAAATTGCCGATTCGTAAATATCGCTGACACATCAAAATTCGCGAGAGCATAATTTCGTCAATTTTCCATCAAATTTCGTACTTTTTGTTTTATTACTTTCACAGAAAGATTCTCTACCATTTCATTAGAAAAAATAACAAATTTATTTTTTGAAAATTCTTGGACACTGGGAGACCACTTCAGATTTGGGCCTTGGACCCTGAAGGGGTTAATCCCACCCCTCTCCCAAACACCTAGAATATATATTACAACCATTATAAATAATTAATCAAACATGGGACATTAAAATCCCGTTCTAAATCCTACACTTTACCGGAGAGTAATTCGTCTTTCCATCAAATTCGTACCTTATACTTCGAAGTCTCTTACCATTCTAAAAAAATACAATTTATTGAAACTTGACATACCTACTTCAATTGGCTTGAACCCTAAGTAATCCCACCGTCTCCCTAAACACCCTAGCATTTACTTCTTTTACAACCCATCTATAAATCAATTAAACAACTGTGACTTACATTTCTAAACTACTTTTACGATATTATCTCTTTTTTAACACCTAACTTGGCTCATTATCCTCACAAAAGCGTTGCCGCAATTAGTAAACTTTAATACCATCCATTACTTGCAACATTCTGACACATTGCTTACCACTATCATGCTTTTCTAAACTATAATGCAATTAAAACTCCCTCCATTTCTAGAGTCTGTGTCACATATTCTTATCAATATAAACACTTGATCTACACATCCCCTACCCACTCTAAAACCTCCTTGCTCATCTGCAATTCTACATTCTGTCTTATCTCTAATTATTTCAGTAATAACCCTTCCGTACACTTTTCCTGGTATACTCAGTAAACTTATTCCTCTATAATTTTTACAGTTTCTTTTGTCCCCCTTCCCTGTATATAAAGGGACTATACATGCTCTCCGCCAATCCCTAGGTACCTTCCCCTCTTTGATACATTTATTAACCCGTAAACGGTCCAAACGTATATATACCTTTTTTCAGCTAGTGCCCCAAACGTATATATACGTTTTATGTGTCCTACATTTAACATTGCCACGATAAGTCTGAGTCACCTAGACATGTGAGAATGGGTGTGAGCACTCACTGTGCACCATATTAAAATACTTGGGGATTCCTGGGTACCATATGCTCTTTTTTCCTATTAAAACCAACAATGTTTTTCTTCTCAAAAAAGTTGGGGCAGTACGGTAGTGAACGCATATATACGTTTGGACTGTTTATGGGTTAAACAAAAATATCAACCACTCCAACTATGGGTTAAACAAAAATATCAACCACTCCAACACTATATCCCCCCCTGCTTTTAACATTTCTGTCATGATCCTGTCAATCCTAGCTGCTTTACCCCCTTTCATTCTACGTAATGCCTGATGCACCTCCCCCACACTCCCATCCTGCTCTTCGTCAACAATAAAAATTTCTCAAAATATTCTCGCCATCTACCTTGAATATACGTAATAATAATTTACCCAGGATTGATCAGCCATTTTAATTTTTCTTCCTGTAGGTCCTTTACCTTGAAATTTGAATAATTCTTTTTTGGCTGTAAGTTCATCATCGTCTTAGTCACTATTGCAACACTTGAATTATATGGAATATTTTAAGAATGTTTTTTCCCATTTTTAGCTCTATTTTTTTTTTTTCACTTTGTAGGTTCTCGTTACTCCTGCTCGAGCCTGGAGAGATTTACTTTGAAGATTTTGCTGCAGTCTATATTCTTCCGGAGGAGAGTGCCAATAATAATGATGGATGGGAGGAGAAGTTTGAGGATGGACTACTGAGAGGAAGACTTAAGGTAAATTGAGAATGTGTAAATTTATTAGCCTGTAATCATTGAAATGAAAATGGTGTAAAGGAATTTATACTGCATATTTTGGTGAAAGAGGTTATTTAGCTTGAACTTGTTAAACTGGATAAAGTATATAATTGCTGCTTTCCATGTATGTATTAGTCCTCATGGATAAAACTTGTATTTCAGTTTCATTAATCTGTAATTCCCAGATTTTTTTCTGGATTTAATGTTCATTTGGATTGGTGTTTAATAAATAAATATGGAAATTAATTTTGAATTAGAAATTTAGTTTCTTTTGCAAAGATAAGTCACGAAGGGTCCACAGATTTAATACTTTATTGTACATCTCTCTTTAAGGTGTGTTCAAAGTCTCTTGTGTTTGACCCCCGAGACATCCGGGCTCCTATTATCAAGTTTCCATTTCGCACATTCAACAGTGTTGTTGAAAGCAAAACTACTCGGACTAATGAGCTTCTTTACAGGTAAGTGTTTATTTTTTTTTTTTTTTTTTTCAACAAGTCGGCCGTCTCCTACCGAGGCAGGGTGACCCAAAAAGAAAGAAAATCCCCAAAAAGAAAATACTTTCATCATCATTCAACACTTTCACCTCAGTCACACAATCACCGCTTTTGCAGAGGTGCTCAGAACACAACAGTTTAGAAGCATATACGTATAAAGATACACAACATATCCCTAGAAACTGCTAATATCCCGAAACCCCTCCTTCAGAGTGCCGGCACCGCACCTCCCACCTCCAGGACTCGAGTCCGGCTATATAAAAATAACCGGTTTACCTGAATCCCCCCACCAAATATTACCCTGCTCACACTCCAACAAATCGTCAGGTCCCATTCACTCCCATCAAACACGCCCACGCACGCCCGCTGGAACTCCAAGCCCCTCGCCCACCAAACCTCCCCTACCCCCTCCCTCCAACCCCCTCGAGGACGACCCCCACCCCGCCTTCCTTCTACAGATTTAAATGCTCTCCATGTCATTCTACTTTGATCCACTCTCCCTAAATGACCAAACCACCCCAACAACCCCTCCCCAGCCCCCTGACTAATACTTTTATTAACTCCACACCTCCCAACTTCCACACCCCGAACCCTCCGCACAACATTCACACCACACACCGCCCCCAGACAGGACATCTCCACTGCCTCCAACCGCCTCCCCGCTGCTGCATTCACAACCCAAGCTTCACATCCATATAAGTGTTGGCACTACCACACTCTCATACATTCCCCTCTTTGCCTCCATAGATAACATTTTTTGACTCCACATGTGGCATTTATGGATTTGGAAAAGGCGTATGACAGGGTGGATAGGGGGGCAATGTGGCAGATGTTGCAGGTGTATGGTGTAGGAGGTAGGTTACTGAAAGCAGTGAAGAGTTTTTACGAGGATAGTAAGTGTTTATATTCATTAATAATTTTTCATGAGTATTCTTACACTGTGCTTTCAGCAGGTTTCTCTTTTTAAATTTAGTAATATAAACAGGAGAATGGATTACTAGCCCCTTGTTCCCGGCATTTTAGTCACCTCTTACCACACACATGGCTTATGGAGGAAGAATTCTTTTCCACTTCCCCATGGAGAAAATGGAGAATATGTAGCGTAAATACATATTTTTCATTTAAAAATGTATTTTAAGGCACTTGTCCTGCCCTCTCATTACCTCCCTTATTTGGTGTCTAATGCACAGTATTTTTTACTGTTATTTGCCTTTGACCTTACAAATTTATGATCAGAACTACTTGATGGTTTTCCTCCCAGTGTTAAATGAGAACTTCATTGCAGTGAAGGTGAGAAGAGTGTTGTTGAGGTGACCTGTAGTATGACAGTGGAGATGCTAGAGGGAGGAGTGTTACAACCATATAAGTTCTGCAGAGTAAGTGTATTTCTTTCCACTTAGTTGCCGTCTTTTTATTAAGGTATTGTAGTATGTATATGCAAAACTTCTTAGACATTCAAAATGCAGTAATCTTAACAAAGCCTTGGTCTTGGTTTGAAACTACACTCCATCACACTAATTATGTTGACCTTTGTATCCCTTTAATTGATATTGTACTCATTTTACATTATTTACACTTTGCTGTACCTTATTTTTGGTCTTTGAATGGCCCAATTTATAAAATGTCATTGTACAGTTTAAAATTACGTATTTTTGACAAGATACTGAATATAGTGGTTATACTTGAAGTATATTGATAAATAAATGATCTTAATATTAAGCATTAACATTTTCACTTGGATCCTCCTCATACCACAATTTCTTGATTGTAACTTCAATAACAATATGCTGCTTAAACATTTTTATATGATGAAAGGTAACTGCAATATTAATCTTTCTCAGGAAGATCACAAACACAAGTTTCAGCTGATATATGCAGAAGTGACAACAGTTTTGCCACAGATTTGCCAATTGCAGAGAGCTTCAACATTGCCACCTAATGACCAAAACACAATGGTTAGTTTCATTGTAACTACAGTACTTTAAAGCAGTTTAATTTTTCTTAGCAAATTATACACCTAGGAGTATAGAAATGTAGATATGTAATGATGGTTTCAATTACTGTTTTTTGATCAATTACGTACTGTACTGTATTTTCCAGATTCAAGCAATTGTTAGATCAAGACAAAGCAGGCAAAAATTTGACAGATCATTGCTAGGTGACCTCTCAGAGACTGAAGTCTTTGAGACCAAGGCTAACAAAGTGACACCATTAGTGACTAATCCGGGTACTGTACTCCTCACTACCTCAATGCTCTACTTCCAACCTCACAACAATGCTGACAAAGTTAGTAAAGTTTACAAAACAACTGTTATTTGTAAATCTAATGGTGCTAGAATACATACCAGTCACATACATTATTGGATTTTTATTTTTTCTGCAGAGCAAGTTCCCCTCAAGGAAGGTTCCTTGATGTTGGTGAGGGGCTCTTGATTTAGGGAATTGGATCTGTGCTCCAGTTCCCCGAATTAAGCCTGAATGCCTTCCACATCCCCCCCCCCAGGCGCTGTATAATCCTCTGGGTTTAGCGCTTCCCCCTTGATAATAATAATAATAATATAAATGCAGAGCGAGTTCTGTTTTGCAGAGATAATTAAAATATTGCTAATTTCATTTTATGAGGTAAAAATGGGGTCAAAAGTACATAGCTGAGCAAATACAGTGGAATTTTGTCTATCACAATTGTATAATTAACCCTTTCAGGGTTTCGGCCGTACTAGTACAGCTTATGCCCCAGGGTTTTTGACGTACTAGTACGCCTAAATTCTAGCGCCCTCAAATCTAATGAGAGAAAGCTGGTAGGCCTACACATGAAAGAATGGGTTTATGTGGTCAGTGTGCGCAGTATAAAAAAATCCTGCAGCACACAGTGCGTAATGAGAAAAAAAAAACTTTGACCGTGTTTTTGGATTAAAACAGCGACTTTGCACTATATTTACGTATGGTATTTATTGTTGTATTCTAGTTTTCCTGGTCTCATTTTATAGAATGGAAGACATATTACAGAAATTGAGATGATTTTGACTGCTTTTACAATGAAAAGTACCTTGAAATTGAGCTCAAAGTAGCAGAAATATTTGATTTTTATCAAAGTTCAAAAGTAAACAAATCATGCCAAGCGTCCAATTACACGTCAACTGGTGAGTCTAATATTCTTTCACAAGTGCGCTGATATTATTTATACCATTTCTACACTAATGCAGTAGTCTGTATAACAGTAAATCTTCTATTTTTTGTAAGAATAAAAATTTAAAGTAGAAAGCCAAAGAAATATAAGAGGGGCCTGGGGATGTGACTAACGAACAGAGAACTTGTTATTTTAGTGCCAGGAATGTCTTTCTTATTTATTCTGGACCCTATTTGGAAATTGGCATCTTTTGAAATTTGTGTGAAATTGGCAAAATTGCTAAATTCTGACCACTTTATTGGATAGTTGAAATCGGTAAATAGGTGGTTTCTTGTACTCATTCGATAGAAAAAATGGAGTTCTAGTGAAATAGTTATGATTTTTATCGACTAGTACGCTGGAATTGGCCGAAAATAGGGCTCAAAGTGGGCAAAATCGCCGATGCATAAACATTGTCGAGACCGCTAACTTCATAAGAGCATAATTCCGTAAGTTTTCCATTGAATTTCATACTTTTGGTGTCATTATGATTGGGAAAAGATTCTCTATCTTTTCATTAGAAAAAATATATATTTTTTTTTAAATTTGGGGACCCTGAGAACAAGTCTCAGAGAGGGCCTGGGGACCCTGAAAGGGTTAAAGTTTTCTGGGAATAATCTTAGTACATGATTGTGTACTTAGGTGCTTTATTCCCAGTAAATAAATTTTTAAACATCCTGAAATAGATAATTTTTTTCATTAAAAATTTCTGCTACAGCAATTTTAATGTATAAATGTTTCATTACTTTACTGTTGGCATTTATAAATCTTTGCTTTTTTTTTTTTTATTTTTTTTATATATATAAATTATACAAAGTCCTCACCTAACTATAACTTCAAGTCTGTCTTGCCAGACATGAATCCTGGAGATGGAAAGTACAGTGCCTGCACTCTGAAGGAAAGGTGTTAATGTTGCAGTTTTATAACTGTAGTGTAAGCATGCCTCTGGCAAGACAGTGATGGAGTGAATGCTGGTGAAGGTGTTTCTTTTTTGGGCCACCCTACCTTAGTGGGAATGGCTGATGTAAGGCTTAAACCTTCCCTCTTTTGGATTATAAAAATAATATTCTGTATTGTATAAATTTATGCATGTACTGCATACTAATTAAAAAAAATTGGCACATCCTGTCTAAAATAACTTGTCTAGAATACAGGTATAGTACTTTGGTTATCTGCCAGGGCAGGGTGGCCCAGAAAGGAAATACGTTTACCATCATTCATTTGGTCACTGTCTTGCCAGAAGTGTACCAACACTACAGTCAGTTTACTCTTTGTATGTGGTGTATAAAATCAATTTGCTCTTTTATCATACAGCAGTATCCTGTGATAAGAATTGGTTTGCCAGACATCCGGCAAATCATAAAGCGACGTTATCTCCTGAGACAAGTGGTAAGTAGGTGTGAATTATTGAACAGGATATGGAATGTGAAGATAATGATTGTATGTTGTGTTTGCTCTGTTAGCTGGCAAGGTAATAACTCTACATCAGTTGTGATAATTACTGACAAGAAAATGTACCATTGTGTACATCGGCAAATATGATAAATTAGACACATGTGCAACTCTTGGGTATCTTTATTGAGGAAATGTTTTGCCCCACAATGGCTTCATCAGTCCATACACATGCAGGCATGTGCATGCACATGTGCATACATAGAATACAGAATGGGCAGAGAGACTCCAAATATCAGAGAATGAAAAGGACCTGGGATGAGTGTAACACCAGATATATCACCAGAAATGCTTGTAAACTATACTATAACATTAGCAGCATATGCAAGATTAACAAATATCAAAACAGCATTCAGGAACTTGGACATATGTTCGCTCAGTCATTGGGTACATGGAGACTGCGCCTGGTTAAGTATGTACATACTGAAGCTTGAAGAGAACGAAAAGTTTGCAACCAGATTAGTACTGTAACTCAGAGGAATTCTGTGGGGAAAGGTTGGAGGAACTGAATCTAGCAACTGTGGTAGAGAATAGGACATTGGGAAGGCATAATTACAATATACAAAATTGTTAAAAGAATTGATAGGGCAATTAAGGACATATTGAATTAAGAGGACACAGGTGGAAGCTGAAGACACTGATGACCCAGAGCAGTGTAACAAGGTATTTCTTAGTCTCAGGGTGGAATGACTTGGATGGGGCAATTGTGAAGGCAAACTGAGTACATTACACAGTTTTAAGAGTAGACATGATAATGCCCAAGAGGTCAGAAGTCAGTGATGCTGATGATAGTAATATAGGAAGCAGGGCCAAGAGCTGAATCTTAACCCCTATAAATACAGTTTGTAAGTATGTACAACTCATTGAGTGCATGCATGCACATACACGTGTGCACACAGAGTGAGTGTATGTATATGCACTGCTGTATTTACACAATTTAATGCTTTTGAATTGTATAGGTAGTAGGTTGGTTGACAGCAACCACCCAGGGAGGTACTACCGTCTTGCCAAGTGAGTGTAAAATGAGAGCCTGTAATTATTTTACATGATGGTAGGATTGCTGGTGTCTTTTGTCTCTCTCATAAATATGCCAGATTACAGGTACGTCTTGCTACTTCTATTTACACTTAGGTCACACTACACATACATGTACACGTTTATTTATACACACTCATCTTTCCTCTGTAAGCCATGCGTGTTGTAAAAATCAACTAAAATGCCGGAAACAATGGGCTAGTAACCCCTTTTTCCTGTAAAGATTACTAAAAAGAAGAAAGAAAATTGTCAAAGTGGGATGTCTGAATGTGTGTGGATGTTGTGCGAATGATAAGAAAGAGATGATTGTGGATGCTATGAATGAGAAGAAGCTGGTTGTCCTGGCTTTAAGTGAAACAAAGCTGAAGGGGGTGGGAAAGTTTCAGTGGAGAGAAGTAAATGGGATTAGGTCAGGGGTTTCAAGTGCATGTAGTTAGAGCTAAAGGAGGAGTAGCAATAATGTTGAAGGATAAGCTATGGCAGGAAAAGAGGGAGTATAAATATATTAATTCAAGGATTATGTGGAGTAAAATAAAGGTTGGATGTGAAAAGTGGGTTATAGTAAGCGTATGTGCACTTGGAGAAGAGAGAAGTGTAGAGGAGAGAGAGAGGTTTTGGGAATGAAGTGTGTGGGGAGTTTTGAACGAAGTTTGAGAGTACTTATGGTTGGGGATTTCAATGCTCAAGTGGGTAAAAATGTTGTGGAGGGAGTAGTAGGTAAATTTGGGGTGCCAGGGGTAAATGAAAATGGGGAGCCTTTATTTGAGCTATGTGTAGAAAGAGGTTTGGTAATAAGTATTACATATTTTATGAAAAAGAGGATAAATAAATGTACAAGGTATGATATAGCATGTAATAAAAGTAGTTTGTTAGATTATATATTGGTGGATAAAAGGTATCTTTATATGTATATGCTTCTAAACTGTTGTATTCTGAGCGCCTCTGCAAAAACAGTGATTATGTGTGAGTGAGGTGAAAGTGTTGAATGATGAAAGATTTTCTTTTTGGGGATTTTCTTTCTTTTTTGGGTCACCCTGCCTCGGTGGGAGAAGGCCGACTTCTTGGAGAAAAAAAAAAAAAGTTGATGGGTAGGTTTCAGGATGTAAATGTTTATAGATGGGCAACTGATATATTGGATCATTATTTAGTTGTAGCTACAGTTAGAGTAAGGTAGATGGGACAAAAGGAAAATGGCAACAACAAGTAAGAGAGAGGTGAAAGTGTATAAACTAAGGAAGGAAGAAGTTCAGGTGAGATATAAACAACTATTGGCAGAAAGGTGGGCTAGTGCAAGTATGAGTAGTGGGGGGGTTGAAGAGGGTTGGAATACTTTTAAAAATGCAGTATTAGAATGTGGGGGAGAAGTTTGTGGTTATAGGAGGGTGGGTGCAGGAGGAAAGAGGAGTGATTGGTGGAATGATGAAGTAAAGGGTGTGATAAAAGAGAAAAAGGTAGCTAATGAGAGGTTTTTACAAAGCAGAAGTATTATTAGAAGAGCAGAGTATGTGGAGAGCAAAAGAAAGGTGAAGAGAGTACTGAGAGAGTATAAAAGGAGAGTAGATGATAGAGTGAAAGAGGCACTGTCAAGAAATTTTGATGAAAATAAGAAAAAAATTTGAAGCGAGATAAGCAAGTTAAGAAGCCTAGGTAAAGAATGGATTTGTCAGTTAAAAACAAAGTAGGGGAGTTAGTAGATGGGGAGATGGAGGTATTAGGTAGATGGCGGGAATATTTTGAGGAACTTTTAAATGTTGATGCAGAAAGGGAAGTGGTAATTTCATGCACTGGCCAGGGAGGTATACCGTCTTTTAGGAGTGAAGAAGAGCAGGATGTGAGTGTGGGGGAGGTGCATGAGGCATTACATAGAATGAAAGGGGGTAAAGCAGCTGGAACTGATGGGATCATGACAGAAATGTTTAAAGCAGGGGGGGATGGTGTTGGAGTGGTTGGTATTTTTGTTTAATAAATGTATGAAAGAGGGGAAGGTACCTAGGGATTGGCAGAGAGCATGTATAATTCCTTTATATAAAGGGAAGGGGGACAAAAGAGATTGTAAAAATTATAGAGGAATAAGTTTACTGAGTATACCAGAAAAAGTGTATGGTAGGGTTGTTATTGAAAGAATTAGAGGCAAGACAGAATGTAGGATTGCGGATGAGCAAGGAGGTTTGAGAGTGGGTAGGGGATGTGTAGATCAAGTGTTTACATTGAAGCATATATGTGAACAGTATTTAGATTAAGGTAGGGAAGTTTTTGCATTTATGGATTTAGAAAAGGCATATGATAAAGTGGATAGGGGAGCAATGTGGCAGATGTTGCAAGTTTATGGAATTGGTAGCAAGTTACTAAATGGTGTAAAGAGTTTTTACGAGGATAGTGAGGCTCAGGTTAGGGTGTGTAGAAGAGTGGGAGACTACTTCCTGGTAAAGGTGGGTCTTAGACAGGGATGTGTAATGTCACCATGGTTGTTTAATATATTTATAGATGGGGATGTAAAAGAAGTAAATGCTAGGGTGTTAGGAGAGGGGTGGGATAAAATTATGGGGAATCAAATACAAAATGAGAATTGACAGTTACTTTTTGCTGATGATACTGTGCTCATGGGAGATTCTAAAGAAAAGTTGCAAAGGTTAGTGGACGAATTTGGGAGTATGTGTAAAGGTAGAAAGTTGAAAGTGAACATAGAAAAGAGTAAGGTGTGAGGGTATCAAATGATTTAGATAAAGAAAAATTGGATATCAAATTGGAGAGGAGGAGTATGGAAGAAGTGAATGTTTTCAGATATTTGGGAGTTGACTGTGTCAACGGATGTATGTATGAAGGATGAGGTTAACTATAGAATTGATGAAGGAAAAAAAGTGAGTGGTGCATTGAGGTATATGTGGAGACAAAAAATGTTATCTATGGAGGCAAAGAAGGGAATGTATGAAAGTATAGTGGTACCAACAGTCTTATATGGGTGTGAAGCTTGGGTTGTGAATGCAGCAGCGTGGAGGCGGTTATAGGCGGTGGAGATGTCCTGTCTAAGGGCAATGTGTGGTGTAAATATTATGCAGAGAATTCGGAGTGTGGAAATTAGGAGAAGGTGTGGAGTTAATAAAAGTATTAGTCAGAGGGCTGAAGAGGTGGTTTGGCCATTTAGAGAGAATAGATCAAAATAGAATGACATGGAGAGTGTATAAATCTGTAGGGGAGGAAGGCGGGGTAGGGGTCGTCCTCGAAAAGGTTGGAGGGAGGGGGTAAAAGAGGTTTTGTGGGCGAGGGGCTTTGACTTCCAGCAAGCTTGCGTGAGCGTGTTAGATAGGAGTGAATGGAGACGAATGGTATTTAGGACCTGACGAGCTGTTGAGTGTGAGCAGGGTAATATTTAGTGAAGGAATTCAGGGAAACCGGTTATTTTTATATAGCTGGACTTGAGTCCTGGAAATGGGAAGTACAATGTCCGCACTTTAAAGGAGGGGTTTGGAATATTGGCAGTTTGGAGGGATATGTTGTATATCTTTATACGTATAGGCTTCTAAACTGTTGTGTTCTGGGCACCTCTGCAAAAACAGTGATTGTGGACGAGTGAGGTGAAAGTGTTGAATGATGATTAAAGTGTATTTTCTTTTTGGGGATTTTCTTTCTTTTTGGGTCACCCTGCCTCGGTGGGAGACGGCCAACTTGAGAAAAAAAAAATTGAAAGTTTTCTGAAAATTGATTTTTTAATTGTGCACTGTTAGTACAGTATTAGCATCTAATAAATTCATATTATTTATGTAAGCATTGGATTTTTTTTTTTCAACAATCCAGCTATATTCTAGCAAGGCAGGGTGACTTAGAAAGAAAAATGAAAGTTTCTCTCTTTAAATGTAGTAATTTTTACAGGAGAAGGTTACTAGCCCCTTGCTCCCAGCATTTTAGTAGCCTCTTACAACACACGTGGCTTACGGAGGAAGAATTCTGTTCCACTTCCCCATGGAGACAAGAGGAGATAAGACCAAGACCAAGAACTAGTAAGGAAATAGAAGAAAACCCAGAGGGGTGTGTATATATAGGCTTGTATGTGTAGTGTGACCCAAGTTTAAGTAAAAGTAGCAAGAAGTACCTGAAATCTTGCATGTTTGAGACAAAAAAAAAAAAAAATACCAGCAATCCTAACATCATGTAAAACAATTACAGGTTGCTGTTTTACACTCATTTGGCAGAATGGTAGTACCTCCCTGGGGCAGTTGCTGTTTTTCAAACTTGGTGCCTACTTTTTTGTTTCTTTTCTAACACAATTTTTTTTTTTTTTTATATATTCTAATTTCAACTAATTATGCTTGCAGGGTTTGGAAGTATTCTGTCGTGATCAGTGCATGGTGAAACATCTGTTTTTGACTTTCAAGGTATGTTGTCAAGCATTTGCATACTCAGTTCATCTGATAAACAGAAAAGTTGCATGGTTGTGAAAGTGTTGCTGAGAATGACAAGATAAATAATGGAAAGTAAGACATATAGGCAACAGTTATGCATCTTTCAATCCGAAACGTTTCGGATTAAGGATGCCTAACTGTTGCCTGTGTGTCTTACTTACCAACCTGTCGGTATTATATATTATTTTGATGTTCAGTATAAATAATGTTCTGTGCTGAGGTTATCTGCTGGTTGACTGGTATCACTTCTTCCACTATCTGGACAAATGCTTTCTGGAAACTAGTTGAAAAAGACTATAATCTCTTCTCTGTCCAGCAGGTACTACTGGTAAGAAAAATATGATGGAGTAGCACCTGCTGTTTGAATAAAGGTTTATGGAAGTTTTCATGGAAAAACTGTTGAACTTAATAATGTAACACCCTGGTATGGATCGTTCTGTGAAACAAGCCAGAATGAAGTACTTTTGGCCACGTATGGCAACTGACATTTCAGAGTATGTTAAGAAATATAGTGTTTGTATGCAACATAAAGGAAATGTCAATGGTCCTAATCCAATCCAGGTGTACCCAACCACTAGCGAACCGTGGGAAAGAGTTGCCCTTGATTTGTTAACCAATTTTAAATGTTCCCTCCAAGGCAACAAACATCTGTGTGTTATGGTAGACCATTTCACCAGATATTGTGAGTTAGTTCCTATTGCAGATAAGACTGCTGAGACATAGCTAAAGCGTTTAAAGAACGCATTATCTGCAGGCATACCACCCCTAAGTCCTTAGTAACAGATGATGGAGGTGAATTCTGTAATGAGATTCTTGAAAATTTGTGTACTTTGTACAAGATCTCTAAATCCACCATTGTTCCTCATCATCCTGCCAGCAATGGGTTAGCTGAACGAACCAATAAGAAAGTACTTGATGTCTTGAGAGCCACTATCAACCCCAATAGTGAATCTTGGGATGAAGTTATACCAGATGTTCAGTGTGCCATAAATTCTGCTTACAATGCTTCAATAGGTGATACTCCACATGCATTGTATGATGTAGACAAGCGTTTGCCCTATGAGTTGTTATATTCCACTCTGAAACCCAATTACAACCCCGATGATTTTGTAGCAACTCGTACCGCATAGCTCAGTGTGTTTTTAGAAGAATCCGTGAAACACTTCATAAATCAACAGCAGAATTTACTAGAGTAACTAATAGCCGTGCTAAGCCGTCAAAAGTTAAAGTAGGTTCAAGAGTAATGCTGACCAATTTCAACAAAACATCCGCAATGCCCAAGCTCGATCAAAAGTTTGTTGGCCCTTATCGAGTTGTTGAACATATCACTGGCAATAAGTATAAGGTTAGAGAAATTAGTACTGGTAATTGCAAAGAATCGCATTTAGATCATATGAAATTAGTATGCGATGTTGATGATATTGCTACCCAGACTAATGTGACAGATGCTGACAATCCTCTTGACTCTGTACCCTCTACCTCAAATACTCAGTCAGTTAATCAACCTGAATGTCGCTATGCATTCAGATCTCCCTCAGTCAAGGCATGTGTTAGCCATTGCAGAGGAATTTGATCCTCCCAGAGATGATAACCATTCTGCATATGTAAACCTCACCCTCGCAGAATTGGGTTTAAATGTACATAGTCTGTATAATTAGATGTCAGAGATGAAGGAAATTGTCAACTGTGTGCTTTGTTATTAACTGATCAGTTTTTCAGAAATTTTTTTTTTCGTGTTCACGTTCCCTCCGTATTCTGAGAATTTAACAGTAATGATCTGAGTGCACCAGATTGCCTTTGCTGTTAATTTCACCTTGTATATATATATTTATTCTTCCTCAGAATCCGTAGAGTGCATGAATACAGATCGATCGATCAATTCCATCCGTATTGTACAATGATTCATTCTTATAAGTCGTAATGCATTACAATGAAGCTCATTACGTTAACACCCATTACGTAAAACTCAGTATGTTAACATCCATTATGATATCATCCATTAGTTCTAAGTTATATATGTCTTTATTATTGTATAGAATCAGCCCAGAACCACCTGCCTGTTCAGCCTATAGCATAGTAGTGTATGTCGAGACGACATACGTAACATGACCGAGCTGTCAGCATAGTTGCTGATCCCTTTATATGTGTTGTATAGATTAGCTGAGTATCATAGTACCATCCATGTGTTTTATATAGAAGATCCCTATTAGGCCGAGTGACTGTATGACGTCACGGGATACAGAATGAGTGAGTGAGAGGCGCTGCCTCATCCTCACTCCACGGATAGACATACAAGCAGGCAGAACAAGGCAGGCCTGGGCTCCCACCTCTCATCACAGTCTGACAATATAGTGTTACCATCCACAAGCGTGTTTACCTACAACCATCATATCTCCTACCGAACCACCACGACAAATTGTGAAACATGGACTACTCCCCACCTCTGCTGTGTTCAAGTCGGATGTTTCCCATGTGTTATGCTCTATTTAAAATTCTCCATTTTGTTGCCTTGGTTCAGATAGCAATACATAGGTACCTGGGTGAGTTAAAGGCAATTTGAAGGGAAGGATAAACCATAGAAGAGTGCTACAGTAAATGTAATATTGAAAGAAAGAGGTTCCAAACAATATTGATTGAGAAGCGGTGTAGTACAGGGGAAGCAGCTTTTTTTTTGAAAATGCAGTAGTGAGGAGACACTGACATACTTTCTAAGAGTAGCTTGTTTGGTAAAGAATAAATGTTTGAAGATTATATCAACACATCTTCCTTGTTTTGCATGGTCAAAGAATGCATGTTATAGGTTTTAACCTACCATGTTTATTGAAACCAGTTAATAAAATATAAACCACCACTAGTTTGAACCCATGGCAAGCAAGTTCTAAAACTCCAGGCCAGACTCGCTTGCCATAGGTTCAAACCCCACCTGTTCCATGGTTTGTTTGCAATCTCATTATTTCGATTTCATGAATCTTAATAAAATATGTTGTGCAAGTGTAAAGCCATGCTTTCTTGACCATGAAGGTTAAGGTAGAGGTGTTTAGTATTGTCCTTAAATTTATACTGTTGGAAGAAAAAATGCCAATGAAAGTCTTGGTGTGGTGGCAAAAGTATTCTTGCAGTACTTTATAGAATTGCCAGTCTTCTTACAGAAAAGAGAAGCAAACAATTCCTCTTTGGTTAATAATGCTATGATTTCAGGAGTCTGAGGATAGAGAAAACCTGTACAAGCTGCTAACAGAACAGGAGAAAGTGAACGTGGATGACATGCGCCAGGACAACATGAGTTACCAGTGGCAGGCCGGGGCTATATCTAACTATGACTACCTCTGTTATCTCAACAGGTTAGGTGTGACAACAAAACCCTAATTAATGAAACAATAGCATTATTGTACTCTACATATAGTAGAGTAGTAGAGAGTTAGGGTGACATTCCATTCAAGAAGCATTACCTCTGAGTATAGCTGACACTATTTTCCATCAACAGTCAAGCTGATAGGAGTGAAAATGATTTGACTCAGTATCCGGTGTTTCCTTGGGTGCTGGCCAACTATGTGAGTGAGTCTCTGGACCTGACAGATCCTGCTATATACCGTGACCTGTCAAGACCCATAGGTGCACTTAATGAAGAAAGACTGAAAAGATTAAAGGTAATTTGAGTTCGTTCAATATCAGAGTGAATGAAGAATAATTGATAATGATATACAATATTTCCATTATGATCTATAATATAGGCTCTGGAAAAGTTGGGAGGGGGGTTATTAGCAATATGGTCATTTTATGGATTGGGCTGTATGTGTTATATGCTTGCTTCATTCTTAAGTATCCATTAGTAATGATCTCTGCATTTTAAAAAATTGAGAAATAAATAATATGCATAGCTCCAATATGTGCTCTCTGGTTTTAATAAAACTTTATGTGCAAGGTTACTTTAAAGCACTTGATACAGTGTCAATATTTCAGCAAAATTGATCTGTAAAGCTGTTAGCATCATAGGTCTAAATACACTTCTTAAGTAAAGTTTTGCATGATTTATGCCTAAGTTTTATTAGCTGAATTGTAATTTTGAACAAAAGCTTAGTTGCATTGGTGGGAATTACAGTGCTTGCACTCTGAAAGGTGAGTGGGGATGGTTTTTTTTTGGAGGGCTATGTGAATTGTGATGTCCCTGCACTTATGGAAAGACAGCTTGAAAATGAGTAATGGTCAGTGTTTCCATTGATGGGTCATCCTCTCTTGGTAGGAAATGGCCAGTGTTTTAAAATAAAAATATTGTACTTGTGATGATTTCCTAAATTTGCTTATTACAAAATAAAAATGAGATTAATCTATTGTGAATAGATGTCTTGTATCCGGGTTTCTTTCTGCAGGAGCGCTGTAAAGACATGCCTGAGCCAAGGTTTTTGTACGGCTCTCACTATTCAACACCAGGGTTTGTGTTGTTCTATCTTGTACGACAGTACCCCCAGTATATGTTATGCCTGCAGAATGGCCGCTTTGATCATCCTGATAGAATGTTCAACAGGTAATGTTTGGAAGGCAAGGTCAGTCATGCTTGATGAAAAAAGAGGTGATGTAGCATCTATAATAGAATTGCATAATACAGTGGTACCTCAGGATATGAACAGCTGGAAACTCAAACAGTTATGCAAGTGTATTTATGTAAGTTCTTTTGTAAGTGTGTTTTTGGGGGTCTGAAATGGATTAATCTAACTTACATTATACCCTATGGGAACAAATTCATTCTGTATTTGCACTCGAACAGCCTTCTGGAACGAATTAAGTTCGTATCCTGAGGTACTACTGTATTTTGAAACCACATTTCATTGTCCTTTGTTGGACTGTTATACCTGCTGTAATTTTTTGTTATAATGTGTTTAAACATTAAAGCTTTATCTCTTATTGCTTTAAATAAATATTGTAGTCACAAAATAGTTTTGTGCACAGAGCATATTATAATTTTTACTTTTTTTTTTTTTTTCAGTCTTGCTGAAACTTGGTTCAATGTTACTTCCAATCCATCAGATTTCAAAGAACTTATTCCAGACTTCTACAATTTGGATGGTTCAGCAGATTTTTTGGTGAATTCATTACGAATAAATTTTGGTGTAAGGCAGAATGGAAAACCAGTCAATGACGTAGAGCTACCCCCTTGGGCAAAGGGTAATTAACCATTAAACCATTTGTTACATAGAATGCATGTGCTTCATAATCTGCATGATTAGAATGAAAAATAACCATAGGATTCCATACAAAGTGTGCTCATTCTTTTTTATGAACATCAATATTAAGCAGTTAAAACAGTTTTTAATGAGATGTCAATTTTTTTTTTTAAATAGCATTGATGTGCAAAATTTTGTATTACTGTATCTGCAACTTCAGGGTTCATGTCTTCTCCAGGAACCTAACCCTACATATCATGGGGTTCAAGTGTAGATCTGCAGCAGAGTGGTAAACTGTTTTATCATATTTTTTTTTTTTATTATACACTGCAATTTCCCACAAGGTAGGGTTGGCGAAATTAGAAAAACTTTCCCTCATTCACTCCACACTGTCTTGCCAGAAAGGTGCTTTAACTACATTTAAACTGCACTTAACACCCTTCTCAGGTGCAGGCACTGTACTTTCCCACTTTCGCAGGGCTCAAGTCGGCCTGCCGTTTCCTGAATCCCTTCATAAATGTACTTTGCTCAACTCCAAACCAACGTCAGTATTAAAAACATTTGTCTCCATTTCCGTCCTATCAAACACGACTCACGCATGCCTGTGAGTCCAAGCCCCTCACAAAAACCTCCTTTACCCCCTCTCTCCAACCTTTCGAGAGAGACCCCCACCCCGCCTTCCTTCCCCTATAGAATTTATATGTTTCCATGTCATTCTATTTGATTCCATTCTCTCTAAATGACCTAACCACCTCAACAAACCCCTCTTCAGCCCTTGACTAATACTTTTATTAACTCCACACTTCTCTAATTTCCACATCCGAATTTTCTGCATAATATTTACACCACACATTGCCCTTAAACAGGACTCTCCCACTGCTCAAAACCGTCTCCTACGCAGCTGCATTTACCACCAAGCTTCCACAACCCATATAAGAGTGTTGGCATACTATACTTTCATTACATTCCCTTCTTTGCTCCATAGATATCGTTATTTTGACTCCACATTATACCTCAATGCACCCAACTCACTTTTTTCCCTCATCAATTCTATGATTAACCTTCTCCTTCATAAATCCATCCGCCGACACGTCAACTCCCAAGTATCTAGTAAAAACATTCACTTCTTCAATACTCCCTCCTTCCCCAATTGATATCCATTTTTCTTTATCTAAATCATTTGAAACCATCATCACCTTACTCTTTTCTATGTTCACTTTCAACTTTTTACCTTTTACACACATTCCCAAAATCATCCACTAACTTTTTGCAATTTTTCTTAAATATATATATATATATATATATATATATATATATATATTATATATATATATATATATAGTATGTTATATATTTATTTATATATATATTTTAATATATGTTTATATATTTATGTATATATATATATATATATTTTTTTTTTTTTTTTTTTTCATATAGTCGGATTGAGTCTGGAAATGGGAAGTAAAATGCCTGCACTTTAAAGGGAGGGGGTTTGGGATATGGGCAGTTTGGAGGGATTGTTGTGTATCTTTATGTGTGTATGCTTCTAGACTGTTGTATTCTGAAGCACCTCTGCAAAAAACAGGGATAATGTGCGAGTGGGTGAAAGTGTTGATTGATGATGAAAGTATTTTCTTTTGGGGATTTTCTTTCTTTTTTTGAGTCACCTGGCCTCGGTGGGAGGACGGCCGACTTGTTGAAAAAAAAAAAAAAAAAAAAAAAAAAAAAAAAAATAATTTATATAAATATATATTTATATATATATATATAATTTATATATATATATATATTATATATTTATATATATATATATAATATATTTATAATTTATATATATGCAAAAACAACCACTCTGAAAGAATAGAGAAATTTCCAAGCGCTTTCGTGAATAATCACATTATCATTGATAATGTGGTGTAGTCACGAAAGCGCTTGAATTTCTTCTATTCATTCAGAGTGGTTGTTTTGCATTATTTTGAAATCACCTGTTTACTGTGATTCTTATTGCATATATATATATATAATGTATATATATATATCTATGTATATATATATATATAGTTATATAGATTATATATATATGTTATATATATTTTTATTATTTATATATTTTTATATATATATTATATATATATATATTTATATATATATATGTTTTATATATTTCTATGTATATATATATATTTTTATATATATATATTATGTTATATTCTATATATATATATGTATAATAATATTTATATGTATATATATACTGTTGTATATGTATTTATATATATACATATATATATATATATTTATATATTATATATATTTATATATATATCTTATATATAGATATATATATTTATATATATATATATGTAATATATATTATTTATGTATATATATATATGTATATATATATATATGTATATATATATTATATATGTATATATATATAATGAATTGATATATATATGTATATATATATATTTATGTATATATATATATTGTATATATATATATATATAATGTATATTATATATATATATATTATATATTTTATATGTATATATAATATTATATATGTTGGTTTGGTAGGTTGGTAGACAGCAACCACCAGGGATGTGGTAACTACCGTCCTGCCAAGTGAGTGTAAAACGAAGCAGTGATTGTTTTACATGGATGGTAGGATTGCTGATGTTTTTGTCTGTCTCATAATATGCAAGATTAAAGGCATGTCTGCTACGCTACTTCTACTTACACTTAGGTCACACTCACATACATGTACCACATTTATTTATCAACTCTATCTGAGTTTTTCATATGATTTTTCTTATAGTTCTTGGTTTATTTAATTTTCCTTTTTATATCCTTGGGAAGTGGAATAAGAATCTTTCCTACGTAAGCCAAATGCGTGTTGTAAAGTCAACCTAAAATGCGGGAACAATGTATATAACCCCCCCCCCCCCCCCCCCCCATTTGGCTAGTAACCCCTTTTCCTATAAAGATTACTAAAAGAATAAGAAGAAGAAAATTGTCAAATGTGGGAAGGTCTGAATGTGCGTGGATGTTGTGCAGTTGATAAGAAAGAGATGATTGTGGATGTTATGAATGAGAGAAAGTGGATGTCCTGGCTTTAAGTGAAACAAAGCATGAAGGGGGGTGGGAGAGTTTCAGTGGAGAGAATAAATGCGGATTAGGTCAGGGTTTCAAAAGAGTTAGAGATATAAGAGGAGTAAGCAATAAGTTGAAGGATAAGCTATGGCAGGAAAAGAGGGACTTTAAATGTTTTAATTCAAGGATTATTGGAGTAAAATAAAGTTCTGGATGTGAAAAAGTGGGTGATAATAAGCGTTGTATGCCACCTGGAGAAGAGAGATGTGTAGAGGAGAGGAGAGAGAGATTTTGGGGAAATGTGAGTGAATGCGTGGGGAGTTTGAATCAAGTGTGAGAGTAATGGTGGTTGGGATTTTAATGCTAAAGTGGGTAAAAGTGTTATGGAGGATTAGTAGGTAATTTGGGGTGCAGGGTAATGTAAATGGGGAGCCTTTATTGAGCTATGTGTAGAAAGAAATTTGGTAATAAGTAATACATTTTTATGAAAAAGAGGATAAATAAAATATACAGGTATGATGTAGCACTTAATGAAGGTAGTTTTATTAGATTATGTATTGGTGGATAAAAGGTTGATGGGTAGGCTCCAGGATGTACATGTTTATAGAGGGGCAACTTGATATATGGAAATTATTTAGTGGTAGTACGTTAGAGGAAGGAGGTAGGATGGGAAATAGGGAAGTGGACAACAACAAGTAAGAGGGAGGTGAAAGTGTATAAAAACTACGGGAGGAGGAAGTTCGGGTGGATATACCAGGACTATTGGCAGAAGGTGGGCTAGTGCAAAGATGAGTAGTGGGCGGGGTTGAAGAAGGGTGGAATAGTTTTAAAAATGCAGTAATATGGATATTTTTTTTTTTTGTGGGGCAGAAGTTTGTGGTTTAGGAGGGTGGGGGCAGGAGGAAAGAGGAGTGATTGGTCGGAATGATGAAGTTAAGGGAGTGATAAAAGAGAAAAAGTAGCTTAGAGAGGTTTTACAAAGCAGAAGTGTTATAAGAAGCAGCAGAGTATTTGGAGAGTAAAAGAAGGTAAAGAGAGTGGTGAGAGAGTGCAAAAGGAGGAGCAGATGTTAGAGTGGGATAGGCACTCGTCACAGAACATTTAATGTAATTAAGAAAAATTTTGCGAGTGAGTTAAATAAGTTAAGAAAGCCTAGGGAAATATGGATTTGTCAGTTATAACAGAGTAGGGGGGAGTTAGAATAGATGGGGAGAGATGGAGGTTTTGGGTAGATGGCGAGAATATTTTGAGCCGAACTTTTAAAGTTAAGGGAAGAAAACAGAGGCTGTAAATTTCATGCAATGGTCAGGGAGGTATTACATCTTTTAGGAGTGAAGAAGAGCAGAATGTAAGTGTGGGGGAGGTAGTGAGGCATTACGTAAAATGAAAGGGGGTTAAAGCAGCTGGAAAATGATGGGATCATGACAGAAATGTTAAATGGCAGGGGGGGATGGATATAGTGTCTGAGTGGTTGGTACTTTTGTTTAATAAATGTATGAAAGAGGGGGAAGGTACCTAGGGATTGGCAGAGTGAATGTATAGTCCCTTTTATAAAGGAAAGGGGACAAATGAAGACTGTATAAATTATAGAGGAATAAGCTTACTGAGTTATACCCAGGAAAAGTGGTAGGTAGGGTTATAAATTGAAAAGAATTAGGAGGTAAGACAGAATGTAGGATTGCGGATGTGCAAGGAGGTTTTTTGAGTGGGTAGGGATGTGTAGATCAGGTGATATGTTACATGAAGAATATATGTGGAAAAAGTATTTAGATAAGATAGGGAAGTTTTTATTGCTTTTATGGATTTAGAAAAGGCATTATGTAGAGTGGTATCGGTTTGAGGAGCAATGTGGCAGATGTTGCACAGTATATGGAATAGGTGTGTAAGTTATTAATGCTG